CAATATGCGTGTTTCGTCCCGTCGGACTCATCAGTGGCCAAACACGCCCAAAAATAAGAGACACAGTCGCACCGATAGCACTAGGTGTCTGGGGGTAACCCAATGCTCTTCCACAACCATGGTAGCCTGTACGCTGCGCCACACGCTGCCGCGTCCCCGCTCAGCTCCCTACAAGGGCTAATGAAGGAAGATGTAGTCTCCGGAAAAAGACTTTAATACTCTACGACGCTCTCGCGAGAATGAAGCACTCCCTCATGCCAACGAGGCAAAGTCGCTCCGTCGAATTCCACACCACCCACTAAACACACTTGCAAGCGAAGAGTTGTGCAGTGCCGAACAAGTACGAGTGTTTCGTCCCGTCGAACTCATCGGTGGCTAGACACGCCCAAAAATAAGAGACACGGTCGCACTGATGGCAGTAGGCGCCTGGGGGTAACCCAATGCTCTTCCACGACCATGGTAGCCTGTACATGCCCGCGGGCCACCCACCGCCAGTTTCGGAAACCCGAAACAAGACGCTGACCATCGATGAAATTTATCAACAGCGCACCAGCCCCGACTTTTTCGGAGTAGGTGACAAACAATTTCTGCACAAGGCTGGGTCCATGTACTAGTAGCGGTTTAACTCTTTGAGTTTTTTGTGGAAGATCGGGACTTCGGAAACGGCTGAATGTGTGATGGAGAACGGTGGCAGGTGAAGCAAATGCGAAAGAACAAACGTTGCAAACAAGGGCAAGTCAATCATTTGATTGGGATCAAATTGCTCACGAATATATGGCAGGCCATCACTACACACAGCTGGCATGTCAACATCAAGGGGGAATACTTGCCAGGCACACAAGTGCCTGTGTGTGTCAACGAGTGAAGGAGCAGACCCCAAATATATATAGGGTTCAGCGTCCTGATGAGTCGATGAAACTCCGACGAAACACTCTGTCACAGCCCCTCGTTTGTTGTCCTCAGCTTCCTCTCCGCCAACGGTTTGCCAGGCAGTTCTGTTTGACGATATATATGTAATATAAACTCTGACGAAACAGTTTGTCACAGCCCCTCGTTTCTTGTCCTCTTCTCCCTCTCCGCTAAGGGTTTAGATTAGCTCTCAAGGAAATCAGTGCCTGCTAAGTTCCTGATCTTGCACGCAAAACTCAGAGAGTTAAGGGTTTGCAACTTTGCATTAACCCCCAGCTGTTTGTGCAGCCAAACCAGAAACCAGCGGAGCACGCTAGAATGAAGACAGCACTCACTGCAGCACCTTCCTTCCCTTCCCTCTCCTTCCCCCCCTCCTCCCCCTCACCACACCCGATGCCTTGAAGGAGGCAAACTGCTCAGCGTCTATATAAAAAGGGATCGGTATGTAAGGTACCGTCATTTCTATCCATATGTCATTTTTTTCGCGTTATAATGACCATTACGTGTACCACCCTGAACACTCTTCTTGGTCCTTTTTCCCTCGGCTTAGCCTCCGATTCCGCCTCCTTCCTTCCCTGCCCCGCACTGCAAAACTGTGTCACAGCTGTCTTCTGAGAGAGCTTTGACGTCCTGAGTGCACCCCATAGTACAACCATCATTGTTGCCTGTCCCTGCATTAAGCATGCCACCTTCATTGCCCAGCTTCATCTCCAGCTCTGTGAATTGGATGACGTAATCACCATTCACACCTCCATGGTTGTCCCCTTCTTCTGTCCCCTGTGCTCTGAGAGCAGTCACGTCTGTGAATTGCGCTTTGAGAGCAGTCACGTATGTGGCGAGTGCATGGGTGACGTAATCACCATTCACACCTGCATGGCCATCCCCCTCTTCTGTGCCCCATGCTCATTGTAGCGCTCTTGCAACTCCAAGCTTGTGAACTAAGAGAGGAGCTGCTTGTCTTCCTCTGCCAGCTTGTGAACTAAGTGAGGAGGAGCTTGTCTTCCTCTGCCAGCTTCTTTCTGGTAACACTATAGGCACTTGGCTCTGCTACGCGCTCAGCGAACACCGTCTTATTTCCCTTCGTTCCTTTGGTTTGCATCATCGCATGTGAGAGCACCATGGCAGTCTCCAGGCTCAGCTGTTGAAGGCACACCAGTTTGCTTGCACTTTCCCGACAGAATCTCGACCTGCCTTTGTGATGCCACAAGCTCGTCCTTTGTCTGCCCAAGCTCATCTCTGAGAGACAATAAGCTGACGTTTCTGTGCTTCCCTCTCCTCGTTCAGTTGCGACTCCAACTGCTTAATCTTTCTTTCTGTGTCCCGTCTTGTACAGATAGAAGCAGCTCTCATTCCGAATCTTTTTTTTTTTTCTTTTCCGAAATGTGCAGGGGCCATGCTAATCTTCTTTGTATCGATCCAATTTTAACGGATGTCCCGAAGGACCCTCTCATTCCGAATCTAAGCTCTGGCGTTGTTGACATGTACACAGCTCTTTGATCCATCATCTTCGTTACAATGGACGTTGCTCTTCAATCCATCATCCTCGTTGCAACTATGTCCCTTCACTTCCTCTCCGCTTTTATAGCTGCGTCCATTACGCGCATATATATTCTAGGTTTTCTTCTCAATGTCAGCCTCTAATTTTGTAATGACTGCTTCCTGGGACTGGACAACTGCCTATGACACTGCCAGATCCTTCGTCAATGCCGCATTTACCTCCAACAACCTCTCCACCTGCTCCTGTGCCCAAGCATGAGCTCCCTCTGTAGACATTGAACCAGCACTTCTTTTTCACAGTGCAAGCACTCGGAGAGCACCGGGGCTCCTTCTCACTTTCTTGGGGTTTCCCCCCAGTACTCACAGAACATTGGGGCTCCTTCCCCGCTTTCTTGGTGTTTCCTCCTCCTTCTGCTAAGTTCCCCTTTGTTAGTGCCCAACTCCTTTTCCTAAGCTCCAAGTCTGACCCCTGACCCCTGAGGAATTCCCTATCCTCCTTCGCTTCACCAGGTTCCCGTGTCATGTGTCGCATCCCATCCTTCAGTCTTCCACACTTGACAGTCAACTCTTCCCTCTACTACTATTGATGTTCTATACCCTCTCCCAAGAGCCCAATCCTTCGCTTAAACCACCCAGTACATGGCACCAGGCAACTGGAGAACCTGTTTTTGAGCCTCTCCGTAAATTTAGGAGGCCGAACGCCATAGATAAAATGAATCGGCGGCGGGCGGCCTCCAAAAGGGGCCCGCAGGCGATAGCTGGCATGTAACCAGTGCTTTAAGTTGTTTCAGCTCCTCTTGTGAGGATTGGTGTCGACCCTTGCCGCCCTTGAGTTCCTGTCTCCAGCATCTTCATATCTTCGTTTTTCTCGGCCATGACTCGTTGTGACAGATCCGCACTTTGCTTCAACCTTGTTTCCACCTTCTTCTCAACGTCCACTGGTTGCAGCTCTCCAGCATGCAGATTGCCATTGTCCCTCAACGAAGCCCACACTGGGCTTTCCAAAGCACTTGTCTCACTCTCTCCTGAAACTCCACTTGTTCCACTTCCACTGCTCCCTGCCCTCTCCCTCTCTCTCCGGACGTGTTTGTGAACCTGATCAGAGAAACCCCCAAGCCTATCCAGCAACTCCAACCATCATTTTCCCTCTTTCCGTGCGCGCACCTTGACGTCCCCTTCCAGCTGCAGAACCCTTAAATTCTCTTTTCTTCAACCTCTTCTCCCATCAGCTGAGCCATGCCTTGTGTTTTCCTGAGCTTCTGCTTCATGCAGTCCAGTTCTGCGGCTTTCAATTTCTCAGACTCTGTCAGCTTGTTGATGTCGCAGTGGAGAATCTCCCCATGTTGGCATGCTGCCCCCCCCCCCCCCCCCCCCCCTTACCCTCTCGACATCAAGAACCACCGTTCTGAGTGTTTTGCACTCGTTTCGCGCTTCATATTTGCCCCTTGTGGCGCGTTCCAAACCCACCTCCAATCTATCCATCAATTGTTTCAATTTGTTCATCCTTCGCCATTCCCTCCGAGGCAGCTCTCTCATTCCTCTTTCAGCTCCCCAATCTCCTGTTTCATCGCTACTGATCCCCCCTTTAACTCTTTGAACGCCCGGGTAAAGCCTCGCAGTTCCATTTCCAAGCGAGCATTTTCCCTTCAGCCTTCAGCACCTTTGCCTCCAGCATCTCCAGCTCATCGCCTAAGTTTGCAAAAGTCCTTCCTGCTTAAGGCGGTCTGCCTCCAACTGCCGCAGCTTCCCTGCAACCTGAGCTAAGTACTTGACAACGTCAATCGACTTTCGTATGTCGTCATCTTTTCTCATCATCTCAAACCGAACATTAACCAGTTCTTTTCCTAACTGTTCAGCATCACCCTCCCTCCAGCTTATGCAGGCTTGACTCCCTCATGTCCGGCTTGTTGGTCATCTGTGTTACCAATGCTTCCATCGCCGCTTCCCTTAAAGAGGAAGAAGCCTCACCCAAACTTGATTCCACAACATTAACCGCACTCTAAGTGAAGCTTTCCCCCTTCCAATGGTTTCCTAGTAGAGCTTTCTCCCTCCTCCTTGATCTCTCGCAACTCCTTGCTTAACTTTATTACCTTCTTTTCTCTCTCAATCAACCCTCATCATCATTCCTGCGTTAACCTTACTGCCTCCTTTTTCTCAATCCTCGCCATCCCTAGGTTGACATTACGGCCTCCTTCGAGTCCTTCCTCTCTCCACTCTTACACACATTCCCCTTTCAACTTTCATTCCTCCTTTTCGCCTCTTCCAGTTGAGCAGGCTTAACTTTCCCCGAGCGTCTGCCTATCGGGCCCGATCGCAAATTGCCAATCAGAACCTTTGCCTACACCAACTTCTTTGCCGATCTCTCTCTTAGATATTCAATTCCACTGCACATTTCCTCCCGGCATGCTACATTCGAAATTGCTAGAAACCCTTAGAAAAAGAGACTTACAGGGTGGAATTACATAAAAAGGTCGGAGAGGCGGGGTGAATAAAGACACTACTCCATTCACACAGACGGGCCATGGGATGATGATGGCCTTTCGCCTTCAATAAAAATGCCAAAAAACTTCAAAAAGACAAAAGGGTACCCTCACCTCTTTGCATTCTCCAAAGTGGTCGAGGGGGAAAACTCCCTTCTCTGGAGGAATCGGTTGAAATCCCCGGGAACCGCCCAGCCCAAAGGCTCCGCCTGAGCTCATTTTCGTCTGGCGTATGCAGACGGCAGAGCAGAGGTCTTATTTGTGGACGCCAGTTCACCACTGACTTGCCTCTCCTTCCCTCCAAAGGTTAATCATTAACACCGTCATACAATTTGAAACCCAAATTGCAATTTTTCCACAGTGCAAAACCCCATGCCGAAGTGCCGAATCATGGACCGTTGATCACATCCTCTGATCACACCTCATCCAGCATGCAGATCAAACCAATGTTTAGGCTGACTGTTGGAGCACGCAGCGAGGGTCCATCAAGACGTTCAGAGTTTGAACCCTGTTCAAAACAGAAACAGAGTTTGACAAACACAACCGTGCCAAGGGAAGGTAGGTTATTGGCCTCTTCACCACCGACAACAGAAGTAGAGGTTTGGTTGTGGGAGTGGTAGTGGTGGACAGGAAAGGGAGGGGACCGCGGAGGCGTAGGGAAAGGAAGCAGTTTCATTTACACATTGCAACATAGATGAAGGAAAGACGTAAGATAGTCTACCCCAGGGTTATTGGGTGCAATCATCATTTGGTTTGAGAACACGGAGTCGTCAAGGAAAACAGAGACGGGTGAAGAGGAGAGAGAGAGAGAGAGAGAGAGAGAGAGAGAGAGAGAGAGAGA